CCCTCACACAGGTCGCCTGATGGGTTTGTTTATAGGAGGTCTATAGTTTAGAATACCGAGATATTCAAATACAAATCCTTCTTCCTTAAATATCAATATTTATTTGAAAAACAATCAAAACTGCCAAAACTTAATTTTATTTTTCTATTAGCAACTATTTATTATCTAATCTTTAAGAAAACTCACAATACATGAAGTTGGTTTTTACAATTCGTCAAATGCTTTAGATAAGTTCTTTACATTAAAAAGCTTTACACCTTGCACCCTTGTACCTCCACCCCCTCCCACAAAAAGCAAAAGTTGTAGAGGGAGGGGAAGGGGTAATCTTGACACGTGTCTGTCAAATTTAACCATTCTTATAAATGTCATTGTCTTTTACCTCTAATACTTGAAATAAGAAAGTTCTGTAGAACTGAACTGTCTCAAGACTAAATATTATATTATATGACTTTTGCGTTTCGATTTATTGGGAAAGACGGGGGGGGGGGGTTTAACATCGTCCTAGAAACTGATTTACACATTATTATTTTTTAACAATAAATATTAAATATAAAACTTTTCCTACCACCATGACATAAAATGCAAGGGATGAAACTTATTCTTTAATTAAAAAAGCATTCTTTTTCAAAACACTTAAAACTGTAGACTATTTTAAAATATGCCAGCAAACAGGTGTACATGATACATGATAAAAAGAACTGAACTTGAACCGTATCCAGAGTAAATCACAAAAAGTTTAAAGTTAATTGTTTAAGTGTGAGTTCAATTAGTTGTTTCAAAGGGGAATTATATGCTTTGCAGAAAGTATTTCAACAATTTACACAAATTCTAAATAATTTTGTAAGCTGTCCATTGATTCAACCCCTCTACGCATAAAAATATTTACTTTTTCATCATAATTTAACAGAGAATTTTGGATGAATTGACATCTATAAATATTAAATTTTAAAAAAAATTGACAATTTTTCTTTTTTTTCTTTTTTTAGATTAAGTTTATTAGTTATTCACAGGAACAGGGATCTGATTAAGTGCTCACAGTTTACATTTTCGGGATTTCGTATACTGGCAGAATATGGTTTATAGCTTTAGAGATATTCATAAGGAATTTGTTTAAAATATGAAAATATTTAAGATTTAGGCAAATTCTAAAAAATTGTTTTTAAGAAAATGTTCTGCGTATGTAAACATGTTCAATTACCAGGCCTTGCTGCTTGCAAATCAGTCGTATGTATGCACATTTTTAGACACTGCATGCGAATTCAGTATTTGTAGACTGCTAAGAAAAGAAGTAACAAATGTAAGCCAATAGTTTCAATTCTAAACCTAATTAACTGAATGATAATTAGGAAAACACAGAACTATTATGATAAAAATAATGCCAATAAAAATTCAATGATTATGTTATACGAATAATGATAAAAATAATGATGATCATAAGGATAATGATAATCATGATGATGATCAGCCTGGAACCCGTTAATATCACGGTATAATTTCAAACTAAATCATTTCATATACTTTTGACTTATACCATTGTGCAGGGTTACCAACAATAGATGCGACTTCAGAGACGATTGTTCGGATTTTGTTTAGTCCGTTTTCTTGCATTCAGGTTTCCTTGTATCATCATCATGATCATCATCATGATCATCATCATGATCATCATCATGATCATCATCATGATCATCATCATGATCATCATCATGATCATCATGATCATCACTAGTTTTTGCCTACAAGGAAACCTGAATGCAAGAAAACGGACTAAACAAATTCCGAACAATCGTCTCTGAAGTCTCATCTATTGTTGGTAATGATGATGATCATGATGATGATCATGATGATGATCATGATGATGATCATGATGATGATCATGATGATGATCCTGATGATGATCATTATGTTCATAATGATAATCATGATCATGATGATAATTTTGCGGACGACGATTATGCTAGATTTGATAATATATAATTCTTATCTTGATGTCTAGATAGAATGAACATGATGAAGATGAAGATGATGATGATGATGATGATGATGATGATGATGAGAATATGAGAGTATATGATTAGAAGACATGCTCAAGGTTCCTCATGGGGGAAGATGGAAGAACCTCGAGTTTACAAACAAATAGGAAACCAATCAGAAGCATTGTGTACATAGTAAACCAATTAGAAGCATTGTTTACATTTTACATCAATCAGAAGAATTGATTACTTTTTAAACCAATTAAAAGCATTGTTTACATTTTACATCAATCAGAAGCATTGTTTACATTTTACACCAATTTGAAGCATTGTTTACATTTTAAATCAATGAGAAGCATTGTTTATATTTTTAACAAATCATCTAAGCATAGTTTTTAACCAGTTAGAAGCATTGTTTACATTTTAAACTAATCAGAATTACTTTTTACATTTCAAACCAATCTGAAACAATGTTTACATTTTACACCAATCAGAAGTATTGTTTACATGTTAAACCAATTAGAAGCATTGTTTACATTTTAAATCAATTAGAAGCATTGATTACTTTTTAAACCAATCAGAAGCATTGTTTACATGTTTAACCAATCAGAATCATTGATTTTATTTTAAAGCAATGAAAAGCATTGTTTACATTTAACCAATCAGTTAAGAATTGTTTACATTTTTAACCAATCAGGAGCATTGCTATATTTTAAACCAATTAGAAACATTGTTTACATTTTACACCAGTTAGAAACATTGTTTACATTTTACACCAATCAGAAACATTGTTTACATTTTAACCCAATGGGAAACTTTGTTTACATTTTACACTAATTAGAAGCATTGTTTACATTTTAAATCAATGAGAAGCATTGTTTAAATTTTTAACCTATCATCTAAGCATAGTTTTTAACCAGTTAAAAGAATTGTTTACATTTTAAACTAATCAGAATTACTGTTCACATTTTAAATCAATCGGAAACATTGTTTACATTTTACACCAATCAGAAGCATTGTTTACATTTTACACCAATTAGAAGCATTGTTGACATCTAGTGTTCTATCTGTATTGTTATTAATCTTTGGTAATCTTGAAATTTAATTACCCCTGAATAAATTTTAAATTAAAAATCTTTAACTCTTAAATCTTGAAAATTTCATCGAAATTTCTTTCATCATTAATCAAACATTAAGGAAACTGAGCTGAAAGATCAATATCATCTGAAGCTTAATCTACAATTTAAACATCTTTATGTTCCACTCTCCACTAAACCCCACTATTTATTCGGTCAGAGTACTGCAAATCACTGCAGTACACACCGAAAGATGAGTTGAGGGTGGTTCGGCTACATATCTTACAATAGTTTTTTGGGACTCTAGAGACATAATTTCAAGGCAAGAATCACTTGATCGAAATTAGGAGTAAGCCAGGTTTAAATACCGAATTAGCAGGTTTTAGATCAACTCTTGAATTTCGATCAAATCGGTTTCGATCATCTGGCATTCTTTTAATATCAAGTGATTTCCATTTGCATGTATTTCCTATTCACTTACCATTTCAATATTTGTCTGATCGATGATGACTTAAGGAGGTGAAAATTGACTTTTTACAATTGTGGACTTCGAATTTATGCAAAAACTATGAAGGAAACTGTCAGAATTAAATCGGATAAAGGTTAAAAATCGGATAAAGGTTAAAAATCGGACATATAAATTGAAAATTAAGAAAATACATTTTCGGATTAAAACAATTAAAACGGATTTAAGCCTTGTAAAAAAGCCATGAAGTTTAAACATAAGAAAAGTTAATATCTACACAGTAATGCATTTATAAAAAAAATGTCCAAAAAAGTCCTTGATTAATTACCCCAATGACCTTGTTTTACTTATTATTCTAAAATATATCACATATCATATTGTATACTTAGAGATATATATTTACTAGGGTGGTTCATAATGACCTCAAAAATTGACTAAAGTGTTAGCTTATAAGGTGCAGAGACATTTTTGTTTATATGTAATGTTTTTTTTTTGATGACCTCATTATGAACCACCTTAAATTATTTCTGTACAAAATGTGACAAAAATTTAACTTAGCAATTTACATTTTGATTTTCTTATCTTCAAAATTATCTGAAATATTTTCTGCTTATTTTGACAGAAAATGAGTTTTCATGCTGTTCGGCTTGATTTGACATCGTACAGCTTCAAACATTTTCAACATTTTGTAAAATCAAAATATTTATTTTTACAAAATTCTAATTGGTTGACGGGACGCAGGAATAATTCCTTGGCGGAGAAATCTGAGGGATGCTCATTTGCTAAAGTAAGATAAAGGTTTACCCACAAAGAATGAGATTGTAAAGACGACCTGAAACTCTTAAAATATGACGATTAGAAGGTTAAATTAAGTATTTCACCTTGATTATTATCTTTTGCCTGAAACAACTTTAAAATTGCAGAGAATCCTAAATATAGGGAAATAGACAGTATGAATTATGTACAGTCGTCTCTGAAGTCTCATCCTTTGTGGGTAACCCTGTAATTTATTATTGCAATTATTGTAATTTTATCATTTATTGGCC